AACAAAATAGAAATAAGAAAAATCATTATTGAAAAAAATAGACAAATGAGAATGAATTAATATTTAAAACAAAATAGTCTTAAAATCTCTCTCTATACATATTTATATATAGATATATAGATGGTAGAAGGATATTCGTACAACGAGATATATCTTTATTTTTATGTTTTGTTTTTATTTTGTCTCTGTTGATATAATACAGTTTATGTGGTTTCGAGAAAGATGATGTTTTTACTTTTGAATAAAAATAAATTTAAAGATATCATAAAATTTTGAAAAATTATATTGATATTAATATCAAATTAAATTTTTAAAAGTTCTCGTTTTTTTTGTACAATTTCTTTAATTCTATTTTTTTATTATAATTTAATTTAGGTTTAATAACGAAATAATTTATTTTAGATTAATAATATAATTTTTATAAAGATAATGATTATGTTATAACTTAATAATTATCCTAATTATATTTTAGATTTTTTATATTTAAAATGAGATGTTTATCCTGTATTTGATTGTGTTTATCTGCAGTTAGTTATACGAATTCAAAAATAAAGCTTTAATAAGTTGTATTTACGCACAATTTACTTATAATCTTAAATTTGAATTACTATGCATTAACTAACATGAAAAAGGTAGTAACTCTCTTATCTATTGAGATGATATAACAATGGTAAAAAGTATTAGAGATTGACCTACAATGAAGACTTATCATTGTTGTTGGTTATTAATTTTAAATTAAATGATTTACTCTTTAAAATTATATAATCACTTAGGGGGTGTTTGGGATTGCTTATAAAAGTTGTTTTTTAACTTATTTCAGTTTGGCACAAGTGATAAGCTGTTTTATGGTGTTTGGATAAGAAAAAAAAACTGCTTATACCGGTGCCAAACCGGTAATAAACTGTTTTTTATAAGTTAATCATTCCTAACTTATGAAAAACTGTTTATTATCAGTTTACAAGTTTAACCATGTTTTATTTAACTTCGGTTTGATACCACATAAGTTAATAAGCACTTTTACAAAAAAAAAAACATAAGTTGTTTTAAATAAGCAATCCCAAACACCCTTTTAATTAATTAAATTTATAATCTACAGTGACATGTCATTGTTGTAGGTCATATTTATAGCCACACCAAAATGTCATAGCAATTGCTACTTTCAGCAACGGGCAACAAGGACGGAACCAATAGCAACGATCGTTGTCACAGTTGGGCTTTTACAACGACATTTGAACCTATAGCAATAACTTTTGTCCTTGTTGCGGGACATTGGGCATTAGATTCTCACCAATGTTTGCGTTACTCAAGCTGACATTCTCGCTTCCATTCACATGGGGCTGGTAAAGGAAAGGCCCCAATTGGTGAATTTATTTGAGATATGAGTAGATCTATTTCGTTGTAGTGTGTGAATAAAGTTATATATTCTACTAAAAACATGGATAAAAAAAATCAAGTAGTTAAAGTCACAAAACATAGATAATAAATGACATATGAAACATCAAATCATGGGTACATTCCTTGCGCAAGTACAACACCAAAAACATAATATCCAAAACACAAATTTCGGTGATGAGGGGGACCCGATTTCATTGGATGTGATGGAACACAAAAGTAAGTCACTCTCTATGTTAAGGGCATCACGACAAACCAATATTCGTTAAGTTCAACCACTTCAGGTCTATTTTTTTAATGAGTCATCAAGCTCAACCACTCCAGGTCTATTTTTTTAATGAGTCATCAAGGTCAACCACTCCAGGTTTATCCCTTATATAGTTACTGAGCTCAACTATTCTAGGTTTATCATTTGTATATACACTAAACTCAACTACTCTAGGTTTATCGCTCGTGTAGGTACCAAGCTCAACCACATCAAATCCATCGCTAGTATAGGCACCAAACTATAAAACAGGTCCATTTTCAAACCAACAAATTGACTTATATGCCTATGGATTAATTGTGTCACTGTCTAAATTACATGACTCCTATTACATGACCAATGCACTCAAAATATGTAATTTTAAAATAAATATGTCATAACTAAATATCACATTTCAAAGTTCAACATTAAGCAAGTTAAATAGGACAAATATCCCCAAAACTCATCTGAGTCAAGATTGAGCTAAATACTCGATGACTCAGACAATTCCTTTCCCCATATCAATGAGCATAAACCAATAAAATGCAGGTACTCAACATTTGAGCAACTTATGCATCAAAGAGTTTGAAAATCAACACCATCAATTCAAATGAAGATTATCGGGCATAAAGTAGTATTATGGGATTCAAGTATTAAAAATATTCAATTGTGGTATTGTTTTCGTTATTCATATTGATGGAGGAAATGATATATATGTAATTCCTACACCGTAAAGTGATGCAGACTTGTTAGAGCTCATACAAAATAAAGAAAAATCAGATGATTACTAGAGTCTATATATTAAATTGTAACGCCCCTCGATAGCTAGAGTTTTAACTGATGAGGCACAGCTACGCTTCAGGCTATATTGCTTTACCTTGTTCTTGGAATTCTCTTAGAGGCCGTTTACCAAATACTTACCTGTTAAGTGTTTATCGATAAAATTTAACACTATTATTTACAAACCTAATAAGATTTTAGTCCACCAAAACGACATCGTATACAACAATTTTCCCGGTAAACGCTTACCGTGGTAAGAGTCGTCGTCCTAACTTACTGGGTAAGACTCATGGTCCTTGTCTCGCTCTTACCGGGTAAGATTATTGGTCCTTATCATATCCATCCAATGAGGTAATATGACTTGGTAAATGCCTACCTGGGTAAGCGTTTGGTAAACGGCCCCTTATTCTACATGTAGGTAGTAGTCTCGCTTTTAACATCTTGACATTAGAAACTACTCGACTCAAATGTAAAGTAGCTATATATATATATATATATATATATATATATATATATATATGCTTGTTTGTTCGTTCTTTCATTACCCTCACATCAAATGAATGGGACTTAGAGAAATGAAAATACTAAACAACCAGTCGAATATTATGCTTGAAATGACCAAATTCGAATTACTCCTTTCCAAGGATAAGCTTTGACCTCTAAGGCTTGTTTATATACAGGGAGACAAGGTTGAACTTGTAGTCTTAAATGTTGACGGCATTCGACGTGAATACGAGGAACTCCGCAGAGATTAAGTCATTAAACTCGGGTCGTGACGGAACCATCCATCTTCTTTCTGCAAAACAAAGCTTGCAATTTTTATCAGATCGGGTTCTTGCAATTATGTTTTAGGTTCTTGCAAGGTTCGTTTGGTTTGGTAACCCGAATTCTTGTGAATTACTTTGAATGTTGGATCGTTATAACTTCACAATCACATAAATTCTGGACACTTGTGTTTTCACCTTCTCCTTTCTGTTTGGTTTTCAAAATGCAAGTTTGCATGTTCAGTTAAACTTTTGCCTTTCAAGAAAACAAAACATTCCACCAAGAAAAGCTCCAACAAAAACAAACTCATCTGGTATCCATAAAACAAAAAGGAACTGTAAAATCCAAAACGTGGAGCTCGACACAAGTCGCATGCAACTTCCTTTACACGGTTATCCATCTTCATGGAGCTTGTCGTAAAACAGAAACTGAAGCCATGTCAGAAGTCACCTTCAGAAGCCCAACCCTTCTTCTCCAACGCTACACGCAATGCCTCGAAACAGAAAGAAGAAGAACATTCGATCACGGTCAGATTGTGGATTATAATAAAAACCAACTCAAACCAAATGTAATCAGTATATCCAATCAGAAGGTAGGGTCAGGAAAGGGTTATGATGTACATATAGACCATACTCTACCCCTAGGGAGAGAGATTGTTGTATTATGATATAGGTAGTTAAAAGGAAAGGGCAGTGGCAGGTAATGAACTATTTGCAGATCTTTGAGACACTACAATAAAATCGAATTTTAGGACCAAACATTTGTAGGACGTTTTTGGGCTTTTTAACAAGTTTTTTAGAACACTCTTGAAACGAAATGTGAATGTCATATTAGCTCTTTTAAGGACACTTTAACAAGTGTTCTATAAACACGTCATCTTATAGAACAATTGTTATATAAGGCACTTTTTCAAATAGCGTCTAAAAGAGCTAATAGGATAGTTTGTTTCAAAAATGTCTTAAAAATCTTTTTAAGACGCCCAAAAGTGTAATATAAACTTATTACATCAGCTTTAGATAGAACAAATAAATGTTTGGTCCTATAAAATAGTTTGTTAGGACACTTGAACATTTTTGTCAAAAACACGAGTTGTGTTGTCGTCAGAGTAGGGAAATGCTTAGTACCTTGACTCTCTTTCTATTGGCATCGAAACCGATCCCAATGCGTGATGCCGATCGGTATTGTACAAGTGGTTTCTTTCCAGGAGGGAACCAAAACTCAACATCATCCACAAACTGAGACAAAACAAAGTAACTCAACACCATCATACTCCACAAAAAAGGCAGGACATAGTTTTGTTGAATTTACCCCTAAAATTGGGCTTTCATACTCCACATGTATATAATCGTCTTTCTTCTCTGTTACCCTTGGCGTGAAATTGTCCGGTTTTGTTGAATTTATCTATAGTACGATAAAAACAACTAAACTCAGCCCTCAAGACGTAGCACACAGTTGGTTCTGGGGTGATATATTTGCACAACCATGCATCATGCTTTTGTGTCTTTAAATATGAAGAAACAGGGGCTTGAAAACTAAACATCTAACCACTTCGAGAAGCTCCTCCATTGCTACTTCTTTACTCACGGGTTTCTTGCTTCCACGTCCTTCTTTTGGATTATAGTTCCTGCAGAAATTGAATTGAAGGCCAAGAATCCATAGCCAGTAACAGCAAATACAAGCCATTCTCAATGATATTCTAATAAATCAAACCAAATGAACCCAGTATATCTCACCCTAAGGTAGGGTCTGGAGAAGGCACGATGTAGGGAGACCTTGCCTCTAACCCAAAGGGTAGAGAGACTGTTTCCCAGAAGACCCTCGGCTTGCAAAACAAGAATTAACAGGAAATATGTTAGCATATAAAAATATGTGCAAACAAGCAATGGGTACAATGAGAGGGACATAAGACGAAACGAGCATTGGAACACGGAGGGTTACTGGCAACTACGAGAGAACTACGTCTGGCGTACAGTAAAAGCAGGAAAAGCTAAGGGCCTGTTTTTTAGCAGCTTATTCGGTTGGCTATACATGACTATTTGGTAGTGGCTAAATGATTTAGAAAGTGACTTGTTCAAAGCTTCTAGAGGAGCTTTATGCAAAAAGTCAAGTTTTTTCCAAACTTGTGCCTCCCATTCAAGAAACACGCTACTTTCATTTACAGAAAACCCCTCCCAAACAAAAACATTTTCAATCTATACAGACAGATTAATCCGCATAGACAGTTTTTATCCATACAGTATTTAATGGAAAACCAACAAACAGCCCCTTAGACTGACATAATGTAAAGGTCCCACATGTATATGCATAAACAAGACATGAAAGGTAGGAAAAACTAAAACAACCATCTATCTAATGTAGCACTTCTCTACCTTCTCCAAATCCCTCCTGCGGTCCATGTTAGCTACAGGTTCCCCCATAAGGTCAGCTATCCTAATCCTGCCTCTCAAGAACTCCTATTTGAGGTCATGTCTTCGGGAAATGAGCGTACTTCAATAGATACTTAAAGACAAAGGATGATAACATGGTTGATTACAAATGTGTACACACTCATTCAATAAAACATACAATTGAGCGTTGTGCTCAAACCAAAATAAAAGGAATGTAATGAGGAAAAGAAGACATATCAATATATCTTACCAAGGTGGTGTATAGTGGACATTGTCACTGATATTCTCAGAAGTCGAAATGCAATTGTTTGTTGCAGGGCATAAAGCTAAAGCAGGAGGATTCTTCTGTACACCAAGGTAATTGGGCTTATTTCCACTGCATCAAACACATGAAAACTCAAAATTTGTTTCTAAATTCTTACTTCTAAAGAAATTATAACCAAATCGAAAGTAGGATCTGGTGGTGGAACGTATTTAGACCTGTCCTCTGCCCAAAAATCGAAAAACACAGAGACAGTAAGAAAAGCCTTGGATAAAATCATGAGATCGCGTAAGAGGTCGCTTTCCTTAAGCTGTATTTTGACCTTAATTTGCCAGGATATGAGTCGCTTTCCTTAAGCTGTATTTTGACCCTAATTTGCCAGGATATGACAAAATCAACTCGAGGATAATCTCAGATTTTTCAGTAACGACTTTGGCAGAGACTGTTTCCTTTTAAACTTAGAGAATCGTAGCCGTTCCTAAATTAGTGCCGAGAATATCTCCCTGTAAAATGGAAATGATTGCTAGAGTAATTTGTATGTGGCTGAATTCATAGCAGTTACCATTGGGTTTAGGGATAATCAGGCTCGAACTGATGACTTCCACCACGTGAAGGAAACGAAAGATGAAACATAAATCATAGATCAACTAAGCCCCCCCCCCAAAATGGTGAAAGAATCATCGTATTCCCCGAAAGATAGATTGTTGACAAAACTGCACACGGATCAAAAGGCTTCAGAGTCGGAGACTTCTGAACAAGACTTGGAGGTTTCTGAAGGGAACTCAGAGGCTTCTGAATGTCACTTAGAACATTCAAAAACGTATTTTTCCCCAAGCACTTACTCTTCGTAACCACCGCCAGGAACGCTGCCCCTAGGACCCTGTAGGGGGCACGCTCCCATTTCGAGGACTTACAGAAATACCTTGAATGGTGCCACAATCTGTTCAAAGGAATTGACGGGGGCCCGCACAAGCGGTGGAGCATGTGGTTTAATTTGAAACAATCGAGTTAGTGCCGTAGCTATGAGTGCTACAGACGGTCTAACAAGAGGAATGGACGTAATTGATACGGGAGCTCCGTTAAGTGTTCCGGTCGGTGGAGCGACTCTCGGACGAATTTTCAATTTGCTCGAATCTGATCCTTTCAATTTCTATAGGCATTGGGTTCGGCAATAATGATATCCCCCAACAGACCAAAACTAGCTGTCACCCCAGATGAAAATCTCATGTACGGTTCTGTAATGGAGATTCTCTGGGAGCAACTACGAAGAAGTTCCAGGAGTTACGAAGGAAGCTTCTTTTATATGTGTCGGATCTATTTACTTGACCCCCGCCATATCCAGCAATCACAGGTTCTAGTTAGTATATAGAAGTGTGCATTCCACACCTCCTAGCCTGTGATACAGCTTAACTACCAGCCATATTCTCTGGTGAATCCAATTACATAAAGTGAACGATGATTTCACTAAAATCACCAACAAAACTCTTGATTCGATCAAGCCTCTATAGACATTTTTCTCATCACATACACAATTTTCTTGGTCAATAATCTCTATTAACTCATCTCAATTAGGTCTTGCTCTTAAATCGGTTAACATTCAAACATGCCAGAAGTAGCGAGTAGTTCATCTGAGGACAAGATGCCCCCTCTCATATAATGGGGTGAATCTGATTTGCAGACTCTCAACTTACATCCAAATGGTCGTCCATGGTCCTTGTCTCTACGAAATTGAAAAATCTGAGGGTTTTTAGCATTTCACAACTACAATGGTTTTTGCAATCAATTGATAAGCACAATGGAGAAAACCTAATTCAGTCAAATTAAACATATGGAATGGCAGAAGAATAGTTGTCCACAAAGAGAAAGGGGTACCTGAAGTGAAAAATGGCACCAAGAACTGCAAGTTCGCTGCTCCTCAATACAATTTCCCTGCAAACAACCCCCATTTCATTTGGATAAATTAATCGAACAACTCATCTGCATTCTTGATGTAGGAGAAAGATGAGATACCTTCGAGTTACTTGTTGTTGATCGTCGGAGTTGTTGCTCTTGGATGAAGAAGATATGAACCAACGGGTTCTAGTTTTGATCTCATTGACTTTAGTTTTGTGATGAATGGAGCTATAGATAGTTGGTGATGATGACGCCATGGACGCCATGGCTGTGAGCTTCAGAGTTGATCGGTCCTGGTGTAGATGGTATGTGTGAACCGGAGATGAAGGCGTGGTGTTCTTAGGAATTCGGCTTATTTCACACACGCATCACATACTTGTACCTAAGATTATTACTGTATTTCATATTCTTTTTTTAAAAAATATAAAAAAAAATCAATAATTACTCGGAATCAATAAAGTCATGTTTATTTTGTAACCTACAACACTTCTTTTAATCTTCGAGTCAGCTTGAGCTCACCTAGAATAATTAATCGAGTCATGAAGTTAACAATCAGACAAACCCTTATGTGATCTAAGAGAGGATTCAATTGATGACTGGAGTGAAACGCTTATCAGTTGAGCTTACTTTTAAGATTGACCGATACATTTCCTTTTTGTTTGGGGAAGGGGATAATACATCTATAGAAAATATTGAAACAACGTTTGAGTTCCGATGAGAATGCAAGTTATGGTGAGAAGGGCAAAAAGAGATCTTCACCCTTGAATCAATTCTAATTGAAGATAAACACTAATGAGATGTACCGGATCAATTCTTTTCTAAAACGCAATTCATAAGTAGTAAACATGAGATTAAAAGTGATCAAGGACCCACCTTAACTTTTCTTCTCACGCGATCCTAAATCTCGACTTAAATCCACTGTACATTACTTACTTAGGGGCTGTTTGTTTGGCTCTTAATGGTTACATTAAGAGCCAACCTCTTAATCGGTAAGAGGTTAGGTCTGTTTGGCAAAAAAAAACAACCCTTTTAATGATTACAATAACCTCTTAACCATTTTGCATCTACTACCTCACTCAACCATTCAGATCGTTCTTTTTCCAATTTTACCCTCTCCTTCCTCACACGTCGCTCACAGCTCCTCCCCCCACCCTCTCCTTCCTCACACGTCGCCTTCCCATCTCCTCTCCTTCCAGCCGTCGCCTTCACTGAGTTCACGTCGCCTTCCCATCTCCTCTCCTTCCAGCCGTCGCCTTCACTGAGTTCACGTCGCCTTCCCATCTCCTCTCCTTCCAGCCGTCGCCTTCACCGATTCCACCACTATCTGCTCGGAAACGTTGTTGGAACACGGGAATCGTCCCATGGTATCTTCGATTGTGAGACTCCACAGCTTCCGTCTCCGGTAGCCTCCACCATCTCCGTCCCCGTCTTCGGTTGTCGCTCGATCGGTGATAGCTTGTGAGACTCCACAGCTTCCATCGCCGGCGACCTTCCACAGCTTCGATGGTCGCCAGTCCCTTAACAGTAGCACAGCTTCGATTAGGTTTTCTTCGATTAGGTTTTCTTTCTTCAATTTTTAGTCGTTAGGTAAACCATAATGAAACTAGATGATCACTAAAAAAACAAAGAGGGTTAAAATGGTAATTTACTTTTATTCAGAAAACAGTTACCAAACAACATTATTTCATTCAGCACTTAACCATTTGGTAATTTAGGAATTGATTGAAACTTTAGCATGGGCTCATGAACGCACACCTTTGGCCAATTTGATTCGTTGGAGAGATAAACCGGTGGCACTTTCCATTATACAAGCAAGATTGGTTGGATTAGCCCACTTTTCTGTAGGTTATATATTTACTTATGCGGCTTTCTTGATTGCCTCTACATCAGGCAAATTTGGTTAATTTTTTTAATTGAATGTTTTGTATCCGCGAGAATCTCATTCCTTTCGATGAAGAAGAGATCCACCTTCTTATCTTATATTTCTATATCTAGGATCCGACTTGTATCATGGATACTAATAGGAACTTAACGAGTATAGCAAAAAAAAGTTTGATTCAGAGGGAAAAGAAGAGGCAAAAATTGGAACAGAAATATCATTTGATTCGTCGATCCTCAAAAAAAGAAATAAGCAAAGTTCGATCGTTGAATGACAAATGGGAAATTTATGGAAAGTTACAATCCCCACCGCGGAATAGTGCACCTACACGCCTTCATCGACGTTGTTTTTCAACTGGAAGGCCAAGAGCTTACTTTTATTCAAAAAACAGTTACCAAACAACATTATTTCATTCAGCACTTAACCATTCTGACCCTCTTAATCATTCTGACCACTTAGCCATTCTGCACCAAACCATTCAGCAACTGCCAAACAGCCCCATATACTCTTAACTCTAATACACAATACAAATTTGTACATCATACAAATTTGTAAAGGCCTTCATGTAATACCCAATAAATGCTTGCATGACCTCCATTAGCAGATCAAGAAATTTTGATCCAAAGTAATATAATAAAACTTACCAGCTGAAGGGAATCGAGTTTTGCTCAGAACATTGGAAGAAAAGGGCATTTCATTACCATTCAAGTCCAGAATTACAGCAAACCATAACAAAAGTTCCCGTACAGATGTTTCTCGACTCATTCTTACAAAAACAAACAATTGATCGACCCAGAAACAATACAACGAACAAAACTTTTTGGATCCACATCCATCGCAAACTCTTTCGCATTCTTCTGAACTTGTATGCATTCAACGTAAGTATATATGAGAACGATCAATGGATGCTAGTTACTTCTACATCATATACCAGCCACGAATTTGGGGGTACATTCTCACCGGTTCCTTTATACCCCGAGCTACCAACAATCACATATGCATAGTTAGTCATGTAAGAAAAAGAGAACGTATCTAAGAAAAATGACAACTCAATCACTTGCATACCTCATTGACGGTGGAATGATGAGTCTTCTTTTATCTCCAACTCGCATACCTGAAAATTAGTACATACAAAAGGTAATGTGCAAAAATCGATCTTCTATTTGGAACTTCATCAGCCCACAAAAAAAATGCAACAGTTTCTCTTTTGTTAACCCTTCGGGCTAGCTCAACTGATAGCACATTTGATTTGCTACCCCTCAGGGCCACTAGAGGTTGTGTGATGGTTAACTTCAGGGACTCATGGGATTAGTCAAGGTGTGTGCCCAGACACCCACGGTTATCCAAAATATTATGTAGAAAATTACTTGGGTATTTTAGATATTTGATAAACTATTGTCAAATCAAACGTTTCAATTTCCTATGACCGAGAAAACATAAACCATAAATGAATTGTTGACTAATACCATCTAGACCAACATTCAGCCCCTCCATAACTTCCTTGTCACCTGCATAATGCATATAACACACATGTAAGATCAAATAAAGAGTTCATGGTATAGAAATATAGAGCAAAAGCCTAAGCTTAAGTAGCAACAGTAAGATCAAATAAAGAGTTTTTTTTTTTTTTTTTTTTTTTTT